CCTCTAACTCTTCCAGTGTATTTGCCTTCCTACCTACCCGTGCCATTTCATCAGGTGTTACCATCTCTAACCATTCCATTCCTCTATACTATATATGTGAAAATTTTTTGCGGTATTTTTATAGTATTAAATAAGCTGCCCCTCCAACCACCCCACCCATAATTAAACCAAATATTGCCATATACTCTTCCATCTCTGAGCTAGGTTTGTAGTGATTACTCAATTGCGGCTTTCTAGGTATAGCTGTATGTGTTAACTCATTGATTCTTCTAACGAGTTCCAGTGACTTATTTGTTGCATTAATATTCCTACTTGCCTCAGCTAGTTCTGACTTAAGTTGCGCAATTCTATTTCTCCTGTTGGTGACTTCCTCAAGGTACTTCTCTCTTTCAGATGTTAGGTTCTCCATAGCAATGTTATGTCTGTGAGCCTCCTCAGCATATCCGTTCTTGTCAAACATTTTAAATAAGTATCCTGCTCCAGCAAATGCAAATGCGTTAAATAATCCTCCTGCTACTGCTCCCGCCATTGTATAGTCTTACCTATGTTTTGAATGGATCATCTGGTAGATACTTCTTTTCTTTCAAGTAAGAGACCAGTAGAGATGAAAGGCTAACTGAGACAGCTAGCTTTGCCATTCCTTTTACATTTTCTGGGGTGCCTAATGGTTCTTTTAATAGTTTTTTCGATGCCATTGAAATACCAACTGCTCCTGCTGTAAGTAACACTGCGTTGTACACTTCCTTCGTCATCTTTGGTTTTTCACTCATCTTGTTATAATATATAGTATGTTTAACGTATCATTCAAGTGAATCTAACCTGGACTCATCAGCTTTCTTAGTTACTTCTACAGTTTTAGGAATGTGCTTATGTTCTAGTTCCTTAGTTTCCCTCTGATGTGTTTTATATGCTAACACAAGAGATATCAGTGCAATCGCCACTCCCACATAGGCAATTATACTGTCACTAGATGACTCCCTAGGTTCTGCAAGTTTCTTTTTCCTCTCCTTTGCTATCTTACTGATTGCAGCTAATCGTTTTCCTGCAGCTACTCTTTTTGGGTCTTTCTTCTTTTCACTTGTTACTGGTACTCGGGTACCCTGCGTAGCCGCTACTGACGTAGTCGGTACTTGAGTTTGCTCGGGTTTGTCTTCCATTCTACTTGTAAGATACCTTAGGTTTAACTGGGTCTCATCTTATGAGACATCTTGGGGCTACTTGTGAGATAACTTGAATTTACTTGTAAGATGTATCAAATCTACTTATGAGATAACTTAAATCTACTTGTAAGATAACTGGTGAGATAACTTAAATCTACTGGTGAGATATCTTAAATCTACTTGAAAGATAACTTAGTACTTATCTGATTTGAACTTTGGTCTGTACGTCTTTACACCGCTGGCAATATTTTTCACTGCAACTTTTCTTACGGTTTTCTTAAGTGAGAAGTACTCGTTGATTCTAATACAAGTTTTTATTAAGTCGTCGGATATCATTACCATGTACCCTATTTCCATAAGCTTATGAAGCCATAATACTTGCTTCTCGCTTACAATCCCAGTGCCCTTAGGAGACTTAAATTCAATAGCAAATCCTTTATACTTCCCCATAGGATTCTCTATAATAAGATCCGGCTGACCACCTTTGTATCCCTTCTTCCAAGCATCACATCTCTTTGACACTATGTCCTGATACTCACCTAAACCAGGTAGGATCACAGCCTCTGGGTAGTTGTCTCTAATGTAACTCACAACTGCGTGATGAAGGTCCGTTTCATTTATAAGGATTATTTGGTTATACCTGAGTGACCTTCTATCTGGTAGATTGTACGAGCCTGTTTTTCGGATAGATGGTAGGACTTCCCTGAAAACCCAGTCCTGGAAGTCCTCTGCTGTTGGAAGTCTTGAGCTACATATTAGCTGGTACAAACCAGGTTCGAAAAGTAAAATTGTCTGCGGGTGACACTTTTTGAAGAGGGGCGAATCGCCCCTCTTGCGTAGCTCGTATGCGCTTACCTTATTTTGTTTCCTAACTAATTTCTGAACTGCCTTCTTCGGATCAGCGTACCCTAGAGATTCTGCCACATCTTTTGCATAAAACAGTACATCCTCACCACTCTCTACAGCTCTCACACTAACATTCAACTCCCAGTTTCTGAATAGTTTTTCCATCATTTCCCTATACTATATATGTAAAAATATTTGGGTCTATTTTATGACTATTTATCTGACATTTAAATTTGATTAAGGGTGGGACCGAAGTTGGGTCCCACCTTAAGTTCCCTCTACCCACCCAGCGTGTTAGCCCCCTAGTTTAAAAATATTACATTTCATTTAGTTTCTTGTATATCTTTACAACTGTTTTGATTGTGTCAGCCTTAAACGTCTGGAGGTCATATTGGAGTGGTCCTATGATTTTATTTCTAAGTGAATATAGGTCTCCCTCTAGTGAATTCAGTGTGTTTTGAATCTTATCTAGCTGTCTCCTATTTCTATCGGTTTTTTCAATCAGCTCAGTAATTATGTCTTCAAATTCTGTTCCTCCCCAAGCGTTTTCCCACTCATGTCCTGACATTCTTCTTCTGTATTTAATAAGATATGTTTGGCTTCCTCAGATATTTCCTCAGGTTCCTCCTTCTTATTCCACTTATGAGCAACAACATGCTTAGCTGTTGTACAACCACCTGATATTAGACCTATGAATGGAATGTTGGGGGATATCATTCTTGTTAGATAACATACATCATCCTTTAGAAGTTTATCACTAAGTAGTTCCTCTGACAGTTTCTCTGAAGATGCTACTACGCTGAAACTCCCCAGTACAGAAGCAAACTTTGAAATTATAAGCGTTGATAAGAAGTCACTTGCGCATGACATTCTTTGACTTTCATACTCATGGTATAGTCTATCCACAACATCCTTGTTGGACTTTCTTATAAAACTTGCGGTCTTCTCTATTGCACCATCCCTAGATAGCTCTATAAGCTTGTCTCTTTTGCTTTCAGTTTGCGACCTATCTGCGGCTGACTTAGTTTTTCTTGCGGTAGACTTAGCTTTCTTTTGCGGTGTCTTTGCGACCTCTTCTACTTCCCTCACAGCTGCTAGTATTTCTTCATCAGATTCAGATCCCATCTTTTATATCCTACGCGATGTTTTGTTTGATAGTGTATGTGTAAGGGTGAATAAGTAGTATATCTAGTGCGGTGAACTTCTTATCTTTTAATATTTTTGTAATCTCTGCAATTGTCTCCTGAGGAACACCACTTAGGTAATCATCTGTTATCACCTTCATATCCCTACGACTAGGGTTGTAGAATGTGACTAACCTGGAAATGTTCTCCCTGAATGGTTTTGCAACTGATGATAATTGTTGGGTAAGTACAATAACTGATAAGTTGTAATGTCTTGCGGAGAATGCCAGACGCACCAGTTCTGAGACCCTTTTCTTTACATCTTGACCTGCAGCACAATCATCCACAATGATGAGCGTCTGGGTTCCGCGGAATATGGTGGACATTGCCTTCAGAACTAGATTGATCATTTCTTGTGAACATGGAATTTGTATGACTCCGTGATCACTAATATGAGCCCAATTAATGTAAGTCATATTCCATTCTATTGTTGGACATATAATCACAATATAATCAAAAACTTTATTGTATTCCGTTTCTAACATATTAAGTAAGAACTGAGTTTTACCACTTCCAGTCATTCCTACTATGAGCATGTTGAATGGTGGTTCGGGTTGCATCTCTATGCTTTACCGTTAGTACAAGCTGCGCTAGCAGCGTCTACTGACGTAGTCGGTACAAGTTAATATTGAATACTTGATAGATCTCTATTAGCAAAGTTAAGCAAGGCATCTGATACAACAAAAATGTTGCACTGAACATCTGCTGTTGTTGCTCTCTTTTTGATTTCCATAAGTACTCCAGATTGTGTGTTTATGATCTTTTTACCACCTCCTGTGGTGCCATCCTGTGTTGATCTTAAATCTATTACTAGAGCGAAACCATCATTGAAGAACTTGCTGATAGTCATAAATTCGTCAGCCATAACCTTTTCGCACATAGGACAGAAGAATCTTTTTGCCTCATCAAAGAACCTATTTTTAGGAAGTCCTTGAGAGAAAACTGCATTAGGCACACCCTCAATGGTTAGATTCACTTTATCAATATTTGGGTAAATATATTCTTCAGAATCAGTTCTCGCTTTATTGGTAAATAGGAGGACAATTGCTGACATGCTCTTTCTGGGGATATTTATGTTTTCATTCACAATGGTAAGATCTTTGTCCCAATTACTCGTACGCATAAGAGTAACGTGTTTGTAGGACAGTGAGCGACCAGTTGAATACAACCGTGTGACTTCACCAGCAAGGGTGTCATTCTCAATGGTTTCGTATTCTAACTCAAGATTGTCAAGTTTATATTTACCCTTAGCTTCACCTCCTTGGGCAGTCATAATCTCATCTGATTGCGGGAGTGTGAGGATGTACATGGGATTGTTATTCATATGAAATGGAACATAGAGACCATGATCTGTAACTATTTTATCAACTGGTTTTCTGATCTTTGATCCGTAAATGCTATGAATAAGTCCATCTGCTACTTTGTTGTCATCACCTACTTTCACTCCTGAATCGTCACCTGAGATTAACTTTCTGAGATTCTCACTTGCAAGACCTTGTTCTGTCATTTTGTTTCTGTCACCATTTGTTAGCCATAGATCTTTGTAAATTTCATATAAGCTCTCTCCTGAACAATCATAAGCAGTTTCACCTGCTACTTTAATCTGAAGTCGTTTTGCAATTAGTTTGGCTAGGTTATTGTTGAAGTGGCTTTTTGTATTTGAATTCTTAAAATTAAATAACAATGCAAGTGATCCTGGAACAAGGCAAGAGTCAGGTTTTAGCTTTGGTATGTCAATATAGAGGTCTTCACCAGGGCTAATTGTAGTGGGATTAAAGGTTACAACATTTAGGGTCCTGGGTCCTTTTATAGATGACATGCGGCTCCTTCGGAAGCCTGGCTGAAGTTCTCTTTCTGTGGTATTCATGCTTTTATACAATATGTAATGTTTAGTTGTATTTGTACTAGGCGTAGCCTGCGTAGCCGCTACTGACGTAGTCGGTATAGTAAAACTACTGCTGCACAAACAATGATTATCCATATATTATCCGCTGCTAACTCTACCCCATCAGCTATCTTCTGAAATACAGGTGGTAGTTCTATTTGGTGGTTTACCAACTCACTAATCTTCTTATCGAGCTTTCCTGTTGTGTCACCTACTTCCCACATTATGTTTCTAGTTGATGCTACCAGTCCTATGATTACAGCTGATGAGGAAATTAAAACAGCTGATAAGATGCCTGCATTCTCCCTTGCCCATAACCTGAGCCTTTGTAGTCTCCTAAGATCATCCCGTTTAATGAGATCCCTCTTTTTCACTTTGTCTCTTAAGTTGAGAAGTTTGTTTAAGTTTGACTCTCTTTGGTAATCATTTGATAGCATTCTGACGTATCTCAGTTCTTCCGACTTTTCTTTGAAATCTTCTTCGTCCAGATTGTATAGTATTATTTCATTTAACAGTCTGTCTCCCCTATCCATTAAATCATCGTATGATAGATTATATAGGTCAGGGAATTTCTCAGCTAATTGCTCTCTCGTAAGGTCTTCAGTCAATATTTTTCTCCTCCTCAGTTCCTGTATGTAATTAATTTCCTCGTTAATATCCTGGGTCTCCTCAGTGGTTTCGCTTTCCCTAAGATCCTTGTCAAGGTGCGGTAATTCGCTATCTAAAGTTTCTATATCCATTTCTTCATAGTTCGGATACTTTTCCTTCAACTCCTCCATTTTCTGGTCATTGTATTCCTCTTGGTGTTCCTCCATAGCTAATTTACTTTGTGTAATAATTGTATACCATTAAGGCTGCAGCTACAGCTAATACCCATAAGTGTGACGCTAACCAAGCAATTCCTTTAGCTCCCCATGATAGCGCTGTTGCAATGGTGTTCAGGATTGGAACTAGAATTGGTCCTGCTTTCTTTGCTAAATTTGCTAATGCTGTTGCTACTTTACCAGTGACCTTCGCTGTCTTCACAATGGCTCCCCTAGCATGGATTAATAAGGCTGTAATTAAACTAGCTGTTGACACTGCTATCCCCACAAGTCCCACCTTTTCCTCCCCTAACCATTTCACAAATCTACGTAATCTGGAAATGTCCTTTAGTTGTGCCTCTCCTGCTTCCTCTACAGTTCTCTGTTCTAGTGTCCTATCCCTAGCTTCCTTTAGACTATCAATTCTTTCTATAAGGGAATTATACTTAGTTGTACCTTCCGCAGAGGTGGCGCGTTCCACGGTTTCACCAATAGCTTCATTAAAGTAGTCAGCTGGATTGTAATGCTCCATTGGGACCTGTTCTACCTTCTATGCTTGATCCATCAGGTGGGTTAAGTACTCCTCTCAGTTCATTGTTTTCTTGCATTGTTAGCCCTGGAAGATCTCCTAGTTTTGCACTTATATCTATTAACTCAATGTTCTCACGGTCAGCGTATTCCTCACTACTTTCATCGAATTGCGGCTCTTCTTTAGTGTCCTCATAAATTGATTCATCACTTCCAATTATATTGTCAGGATTCGTAGGTACCTCTTTTATTTTCTTTAGAAGGTCCTTATATTCTCTCAAAGCAGGTGAGTTCTTTGAGTACACTAGATTCTTGGTCTTACCACGTTTCATTATTTGTGTCCCACTTTTATCAATACCTTGTTCACTTCTAAATACCAACACCTCTGTGCCATCCTTGAGTGTTCTTACAGATGATCGTTTGATGAGTTCCCTGACATATTTATTCCTAGGGTCTAGTATTAGTCCCTCCTTACCTTTAATAACTCTTGTGACAGCTTGAACACGCTCTACTTGGTTTTCAAAGTCTCTCTTTTTATTTGCTGTAAGTCGGTCTTCTGAGAACTTTTTCAGTTTCTCTAGGCGGGCTTCTATTTCATCCCAGTCAGCGTCAAATGATTCATTGAATGCATCTAGCACGTCTGGAAGTACATTGTTTGGATCTTCAACAAAGTTGACTTCTGGGATGGTTGTGCTTCCTGATGGACCTGAAATGTTCACTGTACCATCATTTCCTTCGGTGAAAGTTGTTTCTTCTATTACACGTCTCTCCATGAGATTCTTTACATAGTCAAGTTCACTTTTAAGATCAGTTAATACTATAAGGTCATCACCATACATAGCCTCTCCCTTCACCCTTGTATCTAACCTACTAAAAGCAGTCGTTAGGTCATCATAATTAAGATCGTCATATTGAGGATAAGTTTTTTCTGTCTCCTCCAACTCAATGTCATCGTAGTCCTCCATAATACTTTAACTTATGTTAGGGACTTTATATCTCCAGCTGGGATCCAACTGTTAAATTTGTCATCATAACCTAACCACTTAATGAGAGCCATCTTTTTACCCTTCACTGTTCTTCTTCTTAGTACTTTCTCTATCTTAAAATCAGGTTCCCTTCCTTCAGCGCTATACAGTTCTTGTTCATAGAATCTGCCAATTATTGCTTCACCAGCACTGTCTTCTATTGTGTACGTGTTTGGATGGCCGTGATACACTTCCGTCACCGTAAATAACTCCTCTGTGAAATTTGCTTCGTACCCTTTTGTGAACACTGATTTGTACTTTGAGATCCTGACACTTTCTCCGACAGCAAACTTTGGTTCTGATGGCTTGCCTAAATTGTGACTAAAAAGTGTCTTCCATACTTCAGTCCAATTGGACTCATTTACACTGTCTGGTGTTGTTTTAATTGATCTGTTCACTGAACTGTTATAATTATCAGTTAAGTCTTGAAGGACGTCTAACCATTTATATGTACTGGCACTGTAAAAGTACTTCCACATTAGCGCTTTCAGTGTTCTGTTAAATCTTTCCACAACTGCGGCCTTTTTGTCTGAGTAAGTAGAGAAAAATTCAATGTTATGTTTATTGAGCAATGACTTTACATCTTTGTTGTAGAACTCTGTGCCCTGATCAAACTGGGCGAATTTTGGGTATTTACCAAAACGATTATTAAATTGCTCTAAAATGTTACTGACTGCGTCCTTCATTGATGTCGCGTTTTTCCTATACACTGGTACTGTGAATGCGTACCTACTCAGTATTTCGATTGATGTGAGAATCCATCGGTATCCCTTGTTCTTGTCGTCATATTTTGTCATATCAACTAAATCCATTTGTAACTGTTCACCTAAAGTCTGGACGTACGTCTGCCTGAACTTATGTTTCCTAAACACTTGTCTGTACCTCGTGTATGTGTCTTGCTCATTTATCCATTTGTTGACCTGGTTTCTGGTTACTTTAAGTCCGTCTGATACTGCTCTAAGATATAGTTTCTCTGGTGTTTGAAATCCAGTCTTAGGATTATAGTAAATATCTCGTAGTCCCTGTTCTTTCATAATATCATCGTCCATTTTATATTAACCAATGTAAGCTAACTACCGACTACGTTAGTAGACGCTACGCTGCGTAGCTAGTACTCAAGGTACATCTCGATAAGCACTTCACCTATATCAATAGGTTTTCCGTCTTGATCTGTCATGTGGAATACAAGTTCTGAGAAAGAACCCTTAATAACTGAAATCCTACTTTCAACATCAATGTAACTAACTACTGAGCCTAATAATGGTCTGTCAGTTGGAACTGTAACACTTGTTATTACATCACTGGGTCTTCCCCAAGGGTTAACGTTGTAACTGTTACTTACTAGATTGCAGTGTATATTTACACATCGTAGACCGTTATTAAAGTCAACTTTGTTATCACTTGTCAAACTCCTCCCTTTTAGTAGAATCATAGGATTATTAAATCTACTAAAACCTAACATGGCCAGTAATCGTGTTTCTATTGTGATATCTTGTTTTACTGCTTCTATTTGACATCCTGCTGTTTCAGAAAAGTAGGTTAGCTTAACACCGTGTCTTTCAAGTAACTTCTTCATACTATCAAATGTGTAGTAACCTTTATTAACAATTACATCAGATTCTCCATCATCTGTTTTCACTTTGAGAATAGTTGTTGGTTCCCTTATGTTGAAGTACTCCCAGAAAACTGATACTCTCTTCACAAAGACTGAATTATAATTGCTTGTTAGAACTGAGTTTTGTAGTGATACAACTGTGTGCGAGCTCTGGAGTAAAATTGTGAACTTCATCTTAATAACATACGTTAGGTTATTAAGAATGAGACTAGGTGGAGGACAAGTTGGTAAGTCGCCGTATCGGTCGTATCAGGACTATAAAAAAAAGTACGGAAATAAAGATGATGGAGATCATGTCGATCCTGTTGCTGGTAAAAATGCAGCGAATACCGAGAGGGCTAGATTTATTAAAAAGTACCCTCACGCTGACATGAATAGGTTTAAGTTTGAAGCAAAGGCTACTAGTAGTGGTGATATAGGAGTTATCACTTGGTTTGTTGATTTAGATGGTATATCTTCATATGACATTAAATATGACGATTTTAAGAAGGATAAGGAGTTTACATATTACCTCACAGGTACTAAGAAAATTATTACCCCCGCACAGTTTATACCTATGACTGATCCCGCTGAAAAGTTACGAAAGACAACTGCAACTAAGTTAACAATATCTTCCCCCGTAAAACCAAAAGGATGGCCGCAACTCTGGGATAGTAAAGGTGCTGTTCAGGAGTATGGACCTCTCGTATTACCAAAGGATCCTACTTATGATCAAAGAAAGTTGGGTTTCAGTCGAGTTTTAATTAATGATGATGGTTATTACATTAACACGTATAGATTTCCTGTAAGTCTTCCATATAACTTTAACAACTTTAGAATTTATGTAAATGAAAACAGTTATTTTATGTCTAACTTCCCTAGTGCTGGTGTAGGTTGGGATGAAGGTCCTAACTTAGCTAATAAGGATGTAAGAAAAGTTCCCTTCAATACTATACCATACACTAGAATGCTGTCTGGTGCTTATATAGCTAGCTATCTTAGTGGAGTATCCTTAGAACACATTCGTGAAAGTGATTCCATCCCAAAGATAATAACCTCTATTATGAGATACCATCTTTACTACACAACTAGAAAGTTAACGGTTAGTAAAAGTGCTATTGATAAGCTTAATGTCAACCTTGATATTGTGGGAAACCATATTCCTATAAAGCAGAAATATATTATTGATGGAAGTGGTTGTACAACTAGCGCGGAGCCCCTATCTGATAACGACTTCCTTTCATTCATAGCTGAAAAAAGTAATGGCTTTACTAAGTTAGGCGTTGAGCTCATCCAGGAAAGTATTGAGTCATATGTGTATGCTATGTTGGGATCTCAAGCTAACACAAGGTGGTCAATAGAAGGAAACGGTCCAAAGGCTCTCCAAACACAACGTAACTTTAAATCTGTTGTAAATGCTACTATTTTACAAAGTGATACAGTAACAGCAATTAGTAATATGAGGAAAGCTGTGAGGGATACAAATGTGATTCTAAACACTGCTCTATCTCCTGGAATAGTTCTGACCCCATCAAACTTTATCATTCTGATAACCCCAATACCTGGTTATAATAACATTCTAACCACGGCAACTAATACAATGAAATTTGGTGTGAATTCTAAGGTAAATTATACCGGCGTCAAGCAAGTTGATCCTCCAAAGAAAAAGCATCAAGACACTACACCAGTTCACCACCTTGATACTATTGATGGAATAAAAAGGTTCCAGGAGGTCCTACAAGTGCTAAGCCTCAGGAAGGTTCTACAAGTGCTGAGACTCAAGTTGTTCCTATCATAAAACATGATGTGGTTAGTACCCGTGAGTCTTCAGGAGTTAGCGCTATCACTGGAGCTGGAATTGGTGCTATAGTTGTATTTATTCTAATGAAAATAATCTTGTAAACATTATGTATGTTATAAAATGGCTCTCTATAGAGGATACAACAAAGGAGTAAATAAAGTTGATCCATTAAGTGGTAGTGTGTTTGATAAGGATGGATTTACCATGAAGGGTGACATTGAGATGGATGGTAATGAGGTGAAGGGTTTAGGTGCACCAACAGATGATACGTCTGCGGTCGCAAGGAAGTGGGTCGATGATGAGATCATTAAACAAGCTGCTATTACAATTCAACCAGCAGGGTTTACAATGACTGGGGATATTGACATGGGAGGTAATAAGATAACTAATCTTGATAATCCTACTAATCCAGGTGACGCTGCCAGTAAGAGCTGGGTTGAAGGCAGCCGTAGACATATACATGTAAGTCTACCTGGACTTATCCTTACAAATGATCTCAATATGTCAACCAATGAAATAAAGGCTTTAGGTGATCCTACAACTGGAAAGTCTGCTGTTAGTAAGGACTGGACCCTGACACAAGTAAGAAACCTGGACTCTTATGTAGCCGGTCTCTACGTCTGGATTGACGGTACACATGCAATGACTGGACACCTTCAAATGGGTGGAAATGAAATTAGGAACTTTGGTAATCCTACTACTGGAAAGTCAGTGACTAATAAGGACTGGGTAGTTGGAATGCTAAATAGACCGGTATCTGGACTTAACATTGCTGGTGATATTGATATGAAGAACCATGAGATTAAAAATCTTAAGGACCCCACTGAGGACCAGTCTGCTGTTACAAAGAAGTGGACTGTTGATAATAACTTTAGAATGAGAGGTGGAATTATGCAAGCAGATGTGTCCATGGGAGGTTGGAGATTGTTTGATCTTATTGAGCCTAGAATAAATAGTGAAGCTGTATCTAAAGGTTGGGTTGAGAGTAAGCTGTCAACGTTTGATAAGACTTCTGGTTTTACAATGACAGGTAACATTGATATGGGTGGAAACAAAATTGAGAATGTTGCTGATCCAACTACTTCCCAGTCTGTTGTTACAAAAAGTTGGTTTAACTTAAATGAAGGAACATTCCTCCGGCTAGATGGAACAGGATCCCTAAATGTTGCTGGTACTGTTAGTTTTAGAAATACACCTACATGTTCGCAGGGTCCAACAACCTCTAACCACCTTGTAAATCTAGCCTATCTAAATTCACTTTTAGGAAGCCTTGTAAAAATAGATGGCTCCCTCAGAATGACTGGTAACCTGCAGATGGGTGGAAATGAAATAGTGAATGTTGGAGCTCCTAGTGCTGATGGATCTGCAGTTAATAAAAAGTGGGTGGAAGGTAAGATTAGCGGTGGTAGAAAAAGGCGTGAGACTTATAGTGGACTTACACTATCTGCTGACCTTGATATGGGAAACTATGAAATTATAAAGTTAGGTGCTCCCACAACTGATAATTCTGCTGTGTCTAAGAAATGGGTCACGGATCATGTTAGTGGGAGTTCTGTAAGTAGTAGTGGCTTTAGTATGAGTGGTAATATTGACATGGCTGGTAATAGTATTACGGGACTAAATAGTGGCTCGTCTGGTGCTTCTAGTGCTGTTTCCTACGGTTCTATGACTTCATGGTGTTCACAGTTTCTTAAGCGTGGTGGTGGTGTATTATCGGGTAACCTTGATGCTAACGATTATGAGTTAACTAGAGTTGGTAACCCTACAACCGACGGTTCAGCTGTTAATAAGAAATGGGCAACAGATGAGTTCATGAGCAGTAGAGGCGGACTGGTGAAAGGTGATTTAGATATGGGAGATTCAAGTGGTATTCTCGATCTAAAGGATCCTGTAAATGATAGGGATGCAGTTAACAAACAATGGGTAGAAAAGAATTTCCTAAAACCTTCAACTGGTCTTACTCAAGCAACGGCTGACTTAAGATATGTAAGAAAACTTCGACATATACATGCAGAATGGATTTGGGGTTATCGTGGTGTAGCAGTTGCTGCAACAAGGTACTATGCTTACTGTCAAGAGCAGATTCCACCTTCATGGAGAACAGATCCTATTAATAATATGACAGACCTCAACCTCGAGTCAATTACTATTAAATCAGATTTCCCACGTTTTTTAACCTGGGTAAATATACCCTTATCCCTAATCCTATGGGCTACTGTATGGGAAAAACAATCTAATGGAAAATTTACACAGGTAAGGAAGGAAATCGCTCTGAGAACAATAGACTTAACAAGACTGTCACACACTTGGTTCAATGGAACTTTCACAACTACTGGTGGAAGTACAGCTTGCTATGTCTTCAAGGGTAATAGTATGTTCTATTTAGGAAACCAGGCTGAGTTGGTAAATAACACGCTAGCCTGGTGTATTATAGTTAAACCTGAACACTCAATGCCTACTGGGTCTAGCATGGATATGTCCTTTTGCTGGTCACTCCGATATTCAGGGTCAAGTAGTTAACATGTGGTTTATCATAAGATAAGATGTCAAGATGGAGGTCATGCTTCTCATGTTTAGGTAAGATTTGTGGCTGCCGTAAAAAGTCAAACAGGGGTAAGGGAGTTGGTGATATAAATTTCTCTGTATCTAATAATGTTAACATTGGAGTAAGTACTCAGGATAAAAAAGCTACTTCAAATGTTGTGTTAGAGCCGGAAGGTTACGACCCCTTTAAAATGGTTAAGCTTGAAATGTTGGATACTAAAGAAACTGTTGAATAAAAGATTTGAAAATAAGACTTAAAATAATATAATAAAAATACGTTAAAAAGCCACAATAAATAATATGGTCTAGAAACTTGAGCCCGCGTTTTTGGGGAAAAATATGGAAGCCGCTGACCGGAAGTGGGATGAGATCGCGGGCTGAAAAAGTGGTCTAGAACCGCTACTTCCTATACTACTTGCGAAACATTCACTTTAAACAAGTAGCAAAACTATCGCGACTGTTGACTAAATTTAGCCTTGCCGTGATATGATTGATAGATTTGTAACTTTATTTCGAGCAATAGTTTAAAGTTTATTTTACCAATTTTCTCATCCATTTCCTGAACAAATTAAAGCTAAACAGAAACTTGGATAATTGGAGGAGGCATAATATTGAAGTCCTCGCATGCACATAATATGATATCAATATATATAATAATAGGGCTGCTTATATGTGTTTCCCGAATCGTGGGGGGCTGTGGGTGAAACAAAGCATGCATTCATCTATTGTTTGCGTTGTTTACGTGGAAATACTTAATCCGATTGTGCATGGGAGTGCATTGTTTGCGTTGTTTACGCGAAATTTCTTCCTATGACTGCACGTAGATATAATTTGTATTCTTTTATTGAGTAAACAGTTTTGGTTTTCTTTCAAAATACAAAATTTTTCCTCTAAACATAAATTACACCGTTATGTTTAGAAGAACAATTTTGTATTTTGAAAGAAAACCAAAAGCCATTCTTAACTCGATAATTCACTTTAATGCAAGCTGGTATGCATGAAATTGCAGTGAATGTTATCGTTCATTATAAAGCTAGCGCATCACGGCATCACACATTTTAAAAATTGGATCGTTATGGTTTATGCTGGAAATTAACGTTTTTAGACCCTGCAAAAATTACGACAACAAGTCATCCATTAAAAACAACGGAACGGACAAGAACTCTTCAAGGAATAACAACGCTGCCGCTTAAAAATCCAACAGTAAAAAACACAGGTAAATGGGCGCATTCTAGCTGAAATAGATTAAAGTTCATCTGTGAAGACGCATTGTCCATCTGATGCAGGGGTTATACCTTTCTTAGTGTATACAAGGAACTACAAAGGACTTGTACCAATTCAGGGTTTACATTGTTATGTGGATGTGTTGAAACTGCTTACTCGCAGTTTGTTGAGAGCTATCAGCTGCCTGTTGCCAACTTGCTAAAACGTTTTTGACTCGGCGTGATACAATTGTCCCAACAACTTTTTGTCGTCCCGCAATTTAATAACATGTTTACAAATAATTTGTATCCCATGCAACTTAACAAACTAGCAATATTCTTACAACTTGTTGGCAAGCTTCTTATACAGTAGCATGATGGGAACACACCTTGTTAACGAATACTCATTAATATTACTCACTTGTAGTCGTGTTTTATCATATCTAAAACGCTCGGCTGCGTCTCTCGTTTTAAATACGATAAAACACTCCTATACGCGTGCTTTAAATAGTACATATATACGTTGCTTCCATATGGGAGGAGTATATAGTTGTTTTGGGCTATGTCAAAGGCGAAAAGGGAAATGGCACTCCATGAGAAGAATTAATGAAATTAAATATATTTGGACAGTAGTGCAATGTCAGTGCGAGTCAATATAAAATATATCATTCCACAGCATTTTGCTGGATAAAAGGTTATTATAAACATTGAATAAAATTCCACAGCTATAATGCTGTGTTGGAAATATTGTGCAAAACGTCAAAGTGAGTAATCATTTATACAGATAGTTCATAATTACACAAACCACGGCTGTTTTATGTAATGTTATGCTTATAATGTAATGTGATGTAATGTAATGCCATTTATGTTTCTTTATAGGTCCTATGGTAAACAAGTTGGTTTTCTCGTTAGTTATTGCAAGTATAGCTGTTGTGATCCTTGCCATTCTTTTTGTGCTTTGCAGAAAAAAAACGGTTATCCCTGATAGAAAGAGTAACAAAACACCAGAGGGTAAGAACACCAAAGTGGGATTTCAAAATAAAATATACATTAGAGCGTGAGTCAGGTTGACATGTTTCGGTTTACAAAAACCTCCGAGGCATGCAGAAGCATAGGTTCTGAAGTAGAATTTGAATGTTTTTTGTTTTGTCTCAGTTTGTATGCATGCAAGACATATATCATGCTTCGACCTAGACTATATAGACCCATTGCACTGACATCACAAATCCTTGCAGTGTCCTCCAGATGCTCCCTAACAATATCTATTCGGGTACAACAACCACACACAGCGCAAAAATTAACAATTTTAATACAAAATTAGCCTATTATAAAGTTTTACAGAATTTGCTTTGTTTACAAAAGTTTTATTATGCATAGATTACTAATTTGTCCTCCACATGCATCGTCACCGGCGCTCTGACGTCATGTGCAATGGGTCTATACCGAATCTTAATTTCTCATTGTTGGTTATATCCATTTGTAACCGACCTGTTTATAAGAATAATGTAGCGTTAAAGTGGTGAAAGATATAGGATTGTGATTGTAGTCGGCAAGGTTAACTGGAATCTATGCTTGAAATATATATATATATATATATATATATATATATATATATATATATATATATATATATATATATATATATATATATATATATATATATATATACTATCACTATCACGTACTACTGTACTATCACTACTACTATACTATCACTACTACTGTAGTTAGATATTGCTCTATTGCCTTTGTGTCATATTGAGCACTCTACAGGATGAGTCATTGCTGCTTACGCATTATATATATATATATATATATATATATATATATATATATATATATATATATATATATATATATATATATATATATATATATATATATATATGAATTTCAACTATTTCAATTGTCCACGAGCAGAGCGGAAAAGTCGAATACGAGCGCGAAAGGCTGCTGGGAATCGCTAACAAATTGAATTTTCAAAGCGGTTCCCAGCAGCCTTTAGCGCTCGTTTTCGACTTTTCTGCTTTGCTCGTGGACAACCTTAACTGAAATAGCTGCATATATGTATATATTACAGGGGGATGTTTATGCAACCAATACATGCACGCCGGCCTCGACAATATATGGCTCTCCAAATTAAATCTGTGAAACTCTTCTCAATATGCAAAAATATATTTTGAGCTTTCTCTACAAGAAGTTTTTTGAAGGAGCTTGGATATAGTCCCTATTAATAACATTTTCCATATTATAATGATGAAGAATACGCGTTTCATCAAATTCAGACTCTTGTGCTCGTAAAAACATTGATAAACTCGTGCATGCGTATAGTGTATTATACATACAGTATAGAAATGTGCTGTATAAATGCATTATTTTATTTAATTTTTCTGAAATTCATGTCATCTTATCCACATTCTTAAATTCAGGTGCACCACATTATATTTCCTACAACGCCAGCAACAAAGGTGAGGCACTCGATATCGCGAGGTGGCTTCAAGAGAAAAATATCAATGTCATCATAGATCAACTTTCCTACATCAAACCCAACCGACGGGCGTGGAGTGAACGACAGTTATTGGAGGCTGAGAAAATTATTATGATTGTTACACCAAAATACCTGGGAATTTGCAACTTACAGCAAACAAAGTCGAATGAGGAGAAAAAGAGTTCCCACAACGATGAGTTGGTTTGCAATGAAATTGCTTTAATAAAAAATAAATTGATAGAGAATGGAATGGCCGCAGATAAATGCATTGTAATACTAATTGATACAAAACGGAAAGATTTGCCGCACTGGATGTCACAATTCAATTGTTATCAATACAAGAATGGGAAGCTGGATGAAGACATTTTGCCAATGCTTAAACCTGTCGCTTCGCTTAATACCCTTTTATGAAAAAATGGTCAGTAATTAATCATTCGTATAGTCTTAAGAAGTTCTTAAATATCAGTTCTTCGATGAAGCGCCGCATTTTTGTGAATACGTGTGGCGTTTATTCGAGGGCGAATAAAGAACTCGAACGAACTTGGGATTTTTAAACTTTGAAAAAAAGTAAAATTATTAAAAGTATTCCTTTTTTGCACAATAAGTATAGTTCGTTTGCACGTTTTTTCATGGCGCGGCAAGGTTCTTAGCCGTAGGGGCGTAGGCAGCATCAAAAAGTTGGAAGGGGGGTGGGCGGTTTCGAGGGGCACTTTTAGAATGAATGAGAGGGGGAGAGAAAATAATGCAATCATAAAGGGCACCTAAAAAATTTTTCCCGGAAATGTTGGCGACGAGCGGGGGGGGGGGGGGGAGGGAAAAATAAATGCAATCATAAATCAAAGGCCATTGTGAAAAAAAATATAATCTGAACAACATTTTTCACGAAAGCAAAGGGCACTTTGCCACTAGAAAAATGGCACTTTTGAAAACTGGGGGGCTCCTACACCCTTGTTCTTGATTCCCCAAGCCAACGGCGTCGAGTGCCGTTCAGTGCGTAGGCCAGGGGCGACGGTATTAATTTGGCCCATAACACCCAGAGAAAGGAAAGAACTAGCGAAGTCTAAAGTGGTGGTAAGGTTCATGATGTCAGGGTGGACCTCCTCGCTGATTTCAAAAACTAGCTGCTTGCCAGGAGTGGGATAAGCAAGATATATCAATTTAGACTAGAGGTACGCGCAGGCAACAAACCCTCGCCTATATTTTAATCACCAAGAAACTTTCGCATACACAACATCGTACCCAGGCTATTTTCTCTTCTGGGTACGAGGATGTCGCATAGGAAAGACTTGAACAACAAGAACAAAGTCTATATTAATACAACGTTGACAAAGTCATACATAAACAATTGAAACAAACTTGCCATATATTTTAGGATTTCTCGTGTCAAGTCAATTCTTGTAAATGATTACGTCTAAAAATTGAAATGATTATGTCAAAAAATTGAAACATTTTTACAATTTGTTATGTGAAAGTATAGTATAGTAAAACTTTATTTAACCATGCTCCCTCATCACCCATGGATGATTTTCATGAGGGGCGTCACACAAATTACATTCTAAAAACTAATATAAATTAAATATGAAATAGAATAACACAGAATAACAAATACGTAGATAAAAAAGTTAAAAAAACAAGACTATTCTATGCCTGACTCTGTTGCACACATTATTTTATCAAATTTTTTAAGCTACTTAAAGATTCTGTTTGCTTTGCCTGCGTAGGTAAACTATTTCATAGAACAGGCCCGCTATATCCAAAACTCTTTTTTTAAATATTAAGTATGTGGTTTAGGAACTGAAAGATTTATATCAGATTTCTGAGATTATAATTAGTACTAAGATTTATGTCCCTTGTTATAAATTTATCCTTTAAGTTCGGAGCTGAGTGGTTGTTTAATATGTTAAACATCATGACCGATTTATTCATTTTATGTCTGTCGTTCAGATTTTTCCATGACATAGCATGGAGCAAATCTGTCGACCTGACATCATAATTGGCACTTGTCATAATTCTTGCCGCCCTATTTTGTAGTTTTTGTAATTTCTCTTTGAGCATGCTTCCACAATTATCCTATAAAGATGGACAATAGTCAAAATATGGGAGAACGAGAGAATTATATAAATTTTGTAGTGTTTCGGACGGTACAAACGGTTTTACTCTTTTGATGATTCAAATAACGGAGCCAACTTTCCTACACATTGTGTCTATATGGTTTTCCCAGCTCATTCTTTCATCTAGTTCTACTCCCAGACATGGAAAAGAGGAATATCGAGTAACCGGTTTATCATTTATCATAACCTGTTCATTACCAACTTTGTGTTTTAAGTTATAGGGTGATCCTATAAACATTGCTTTTGTCTTTTTTGTGTGAAGTTGCAATTTATTTCGAGAGAGCCATTTGATTACTAGTTCGGAGAAACTTGCGGAAGATGCATATATTTGAGTATCGTCAGCATACATGCCAGGAGTTGTGTTTTTCAGACATTCTGGTAAATCATTTACATATAGTAAAAACATGAGGAGTCCCAAGATAGATCCCTGTGGAACTCCGCATACAATTTCCTTAGCCAACGATGTGTGGCCATCGACAACACAAACTTGACTTCGTTTCGTCAAATAGGATTGGAACCATTTTAGCTCAAAATCTTGACCACCAAACTGGTCTTGCATCTTCCTTAATAGGATTTTATGATCAATAGAGTCAAAGGCTTTCCTAATATCAACTGAAATTAATCCGGTTATTTCTCCATTATCCATATTTTCAAACCAATTGTCACTCATTTCTATTAATAAGGACAGTGTCGAATATTTGGGCCGGAAGCCCGATTGAAAACGTGAAAGAAGAGAATTGTCTATCAGATATTGATAGAACTGTCCAAATATTTCTTTCTAAAATAATTTGCTGATAATGGGAAGAATAGACATCGTGCGATAGTTTTCACATTTCGTTCTATCTTCTGTTTTATAAACAGGTATTACCCTAGCTAATTTCCAATCATCAACATATATCCCAGTAGAAATTGAGAGATCAAATGTATAGGTCAAGGATGGGGCAATAATATCGCAAGATAATTTCAGCATTTTGGCTGGTATTCCATCAGCCCCGATAGACTTGGATACTTTTAGATTTTTCAGGTTTTTTAGAATATTGGATTCAGTAATTGTATGGAAATTAAATTTTGAATTTACACCAGTTGAATTACAATGCATGTCTTCATAATCCGAAAGACGTTCACATTCAGCAGCGAGTGTTGGGCCAATATTAACAAAATAGTCGTTTAAGTGTTCAGCTATTTGTTTGCGATCATTATATATTATTCCATTAATATTAATTTCTGCAATGTTAGATGATTTCCCACCTTTTCCCAATAGGGTGTTTATCAGTGACCATGTTTTTTTCATCTCTTTAGCTAGAAAAAATTCCTTAATTCTTGTTTGATAATAGACAGTTTTGGCCCTTTTCATTTCCGAGTTAACTTTATTTCTCTCCGATTTATATTTATCCCAGTGAACCTGGGAATTATACTCTTTGCTCTCTTTTTATGATGTCTCTGGATCTTATTAGTTTTTTAATGTTGGAATTTATCCAGGGAACAGAATTGTGCTTAATGCTTTTATAAATTAAGGGTGCATGTCTGTCAAGAGCTTCCAAATAAAAAGATTTCCAAACATGCCAATTATCGTTCGGGTTCATATACTGTGTAGCTAAATACCAAGGTATTCTGGACAGTTCCTCAATAAAATCAGTTTCATTAAATCTTTTGAAATTTCTAACTTTGGAACGGGTTTTCCTATATTTAGGCATGGTCACTTTTTTCACTGCATAAATTAAACTGTGATCTGACATTCCCAAGTCAATAACACCACTATTGGTAAAGTGATTGGGTTGATTGGTGAACACTAGATCAATTAAAGATGATGATGTGCTTGTGACTCTAGTTGGCTCATTGTCAATTGCTCTAAGTTATATAATGTACTCAGAAATATTAACATTTTGGTACTGGAGTCTTTTGGTGTCTTAATGATATTACAATTTGTGTCACCAACAACAATCAACTCCTTACTTTCAGCATCACATTTGCTAAGAAATATTTCAATGAAATTAAATAATTTCATCTCAGAGTTGGGTGGTCTGTACCATGCACTAATAAGAAATGGCTTGCTTCGTGGTTTACAAATCTCAATACAAATCATTTCAAGATCATCTGAATTTAAATCCCTCCGCTCATAGAAGGAATATATCTCTCGAATATAAACAACCACTCAACCCCCAAATCTATTGCGTATCATATTATATCCTGGGATACTTATTTCTATAATCTATTGCGAATCATATTATATCCTGGGATACTTATTTCACTATCTTTTACTGAATTATTAATTTTAAATTCGTTTATAGCAAAAACGTCAATTTCAGAATCGATAACATCATTCGAAGGTCATCAACATGTCTTAAGAGACTATTAATATTTAAGCTTGCTATTTTCAACCCCCTTAGTTTTTTAATTTTATGCAAATAAGAGTCTTTTTACCTTCAGAGTCAGGCATCGTATTGTTTATCGATGAGTTCGCTTCTTTGACGTCTGGGGCATGATCATGCTTTGCCTTAATTCTTCACTGTTGGCAAACAGCCATATTTTGAGATCAGTGAGATGACCACCCATACACCATGCGCCCGCGATTATTGATGAACTTTACACTTCGCTAATGCTTTCCTTTCCCCGGGTGTAAATAGCAGGGCGGAATTAGTTCCCTCGCCGGGGTTTACGCCCGGAACGGCCTCGATCCGCGCCGTTTATAACTCGGGAGAAATCGTTCCATATACAACGATTGATGAGATTTTTGTTTGAAGAAATTAGAAGAATTGATTTACTATGGTTGTATGTTTAAAGTTTATGAGTTTTCATTGTTCAATTTTTGCAGTTTAATGATTAAATAAAAACAGTTTTATCGGCAAAAGCTGAATGAAAATTTCAAAGCATTTTACGAAACTTCGGAAATCCATTGTTGTACATAGGGAAAAATGCTACTTTTTCAACTATTTTACCATTTTACAAAAATAGTAAAAAATAAATGTTTTAAAAAATTCGTTTTGTCGTGGGAACACATGACTCAACAACGCGAGTCTGGATTCTGCTTTGGCCAATTACGAATACTTCATGTTGAATCAGTGTTTTGAAAATATAGGCAAGTGGTTGTTTCATGCATGTATCTCTAGTTCTAATGTGTTGCCACTGACTTGGTAATGTGCAATGATTGATGTATGATATAACTTTCCCAAACTTGTAAACACATGTTCAAATTTCGCGGTTATGGTTCACACCACTCCGTCATCGTGAAGATGACCCAAATCCTATTTTTTTTTTCTCATCAAAACAATGATTTTTAACTCATGATCACAAAAACATCATTCGCACAAGTAAAATACATGTATATGTTCTGCATGCACAATAGGAGTTTTCCTGTGATCTTGTAATCCCGGCCCACTTCTGAAAGAGCTGGCCCTTGATTCTTTGGAATTGACGATATTAAGATACTTTTATGCATGGATGTACTGATCGATGTATTGTAGACTTAATTTAAAGAGTCATTGTCAACCACAATACATTGTGCGCCCAAACCTGCTTGGCGGCCGTTTTCATTGCGTAATAATAGATGTTTTGGTTTTCAATCCATAATATATTATACCCATTTATACTCGCCCATTTTAAGTTTTGGAAACTAAAATTGTACCAAAGAAATGTTTATGATCGTAACTTGTTGCTATTTGTCACTTCCGAAGGTAAGATGTAAACAAATGAATTGTGGTTGACAATGATTCTTAAAGATAACGGAGTGAGATCCAGAGAAAGACAAAGGACAGGGGCGGATCTAGGATTTTTCGCACGTTAGTCAAAATTTTATGACGTCATCGATGACGCAAAGGTGATGACGTCATTTGACATGACGTCATTTGATGTCAGGATGATAGTCCAATTTTGGTGGGAGTATATATATTTTGTTTTATCAAACTACAAATGCGTAAGTGACATAATATTCGTACCTGCCAATGTTTAGCATATGATATATTAATATATAGACTGTTTTGCCGTAGAGTGTATACCTTGGCTCATCAGCATGCCTAGCCAGAAACACATTTACCAAGGACAGCTCCTTGAAAAAGCTGAACACAAGCACAGGTTTTTGGCACCTTAAAACCAGATTGCTTGCCTTCACACCTTTTGTAAGAGCAAAAGGAGTTTGGCTAGAACTTAGAAATGAGTGACAAATAAAATGAGCAATGAACGCCACCTAAAATGAGCAATCTGGTTTTAAGGTGCCATAAACCCGCCTCACACCTTTCACCACAGCAAAAGGAGCTTGCTGAAAAATGGGTGACAATATGGGACATTTCATGGATGTGAAATTGCTCAGTCTTTCCCTTTAGCCCCTTCCCCAGTTCCCCTATTACTAACTTATGTCTAATCTAATTAAATTCATCATCTTGTTATATACTGTCCACTGTGAAAATGTATAATATCGCAAGTGAATTGGTGCCTCAAAACTGCAGGTGCAGTGGAAGACAACTTTTATTGAAAACAATTTTATTTTACTTGGAATTTTAAACATATTTAAATCATAATAGATTCAAATACAAAAAATTTCATTACAAAAGACTATTACTTTACTTATCTAGTTATCTGAAATATTAAATTGGCAAGGTTTTTAACACATTATTCTATTATTCCTATACTATGCTTACATACTGTATATAGACACATACTATCAACATGGAGTTTGCGGTCAAGGCCTGAAATGTTCCCAAAGTTCCCGATCATGGTGATCGGCAACCTCGTTCCTAGGGCTTCAGTGTGAGGACGAGGCGACACACGAGGACGCCCTGGTCTGGGTCGGTCAATTTTGCATTCTGATTGGCTAACACCATATTGTCTAAAAATAACTGAACTTGACAGTTGACAATAACAATTCAGCATTTTATTTTTATGATTCTTGTGTGTACGTACTGTACGAGTATGTTTTGCAAAATAATCTTTCAAAGTAAGACGTTTTCTTTCAGATCAGTGCGTTTTCCCGACTGCATGATTTACTTTCGCCTCGGCCGGTTACAAAACTTAAAAGCCGTGTCGAAGTGAGCTGTGATGTTTTCTGACAAAACAAGAAACGTTTACTATTATTTAAGCTGTAGTTTTCCTTGTACAGTATTTATTAGTGCAGATGTCTGATGAAATACTACGCGTATTGCATTGTAGTAATGTTTTAATTTACAATATTCTGTACAGACAAATAAAAGCAAGACAAACAATTAAATGAAGTTACTAAATTAATTTAGGGCGCCCTGTTTACTTAATAGCTCTACGCCTAGGCCGATGTAGTCTCCACAAGATTCGCACGCCATCCAGTTTTTCAGTTTCAGAATACCTCGAATACTTGAAAATTGCGACTATACGATAAAATAAAACAAAGATTGTGAAGGAGAAAAAATTTGTAGGCAAGCATTGCTCCGGCGAAACAAGCGAATCTGTATATTCCTGTACAGCGTAAACAGGTTACGCGAGGTTTATATTTGTGTTTATTTATATTGAACTAAGTCAGATCTATAAGAGCATATTTAAACTAAATATTAATTATAGCAATAGCCATATTGTTCAAGACGAGAGAAAGGAAATTACGTGTGAATCACCACTTGCATGTAGACGCCTAGATGCAGGCATGCAGCTTGGATGTACTTTGCCTGTAGTTGAAAATCTCTAGAAATATCGGTATATCTTAGAAAACATAGACGGGATCTTCATAGATTTTGGCTGATTCATAATGAGCTAGATTAAACAGATTGTCCTAATCTCTTACTTTACCTGCACCGCACACCTGTTTCATTGCTGTTAATTTTTCAATCCACACAGAGGGGGTAGGGGGGGGGGGTCAAACAAGTTTTCAATCCTTCATATATTTCCCCCATTTCCCCTCCCCCCCTCCCCATAAATAATGACCACTACCTAGTTGTTGTCAACCAGGTATTGCAGCCTTCCACAAGACCCTAAGCTCAGGGCCTTTTTTAACATACAAGCCGGGGGCCAGTCCCCCTTGTGCTCCCCCCCCCGAAAGCCCTTTTTTCCTAAATTTATACAAACAAACCACTGAAACCAGCGAAGAATAACAAATAGGTAAACGGTTTTTAGCATTTATCCTTTGCCCTTGTTCAACAAAATCGATTTAAATTATTACGTTTTTCTAACACTAAGTAATGATAAATTATTGTAGAATTTTAATTCTGGGTCCAAATTCTGCGGTTTTCGAATCGTTACACAAAGAAAAAGACATTAATTCAACACGCAAGAAAGTCCAGAGTGCGATACAACGTAAAATCCATATAGGAAACGTTAACCGGCACAATTCTTTGAAAATTCATCGAAACTATGTCAAATATACAGGGTGTATCAAAATAAACGCAATTCATCTTTTGTGCTTAATAACTTTCGAAATACTATTTCTAGTTAAACGCTTTTAGGCTTACTTCAAAGCTTGTTCTTTTCTCTTTAATTCAAATAAACTATTATCCTTGTTCCCAATGCTTGTAATAATTGCACAGGAAAAGATTTAGTAAAACCTATCATTTTTAGTTGCTGTTTAATTATGCTAGTTTACTATGTTATTGTTTAGTCGGTTTAAATGTTAGAATTTTCTTCTTTAAACTTTAATGTTGTCGTCACTACATCTGGAAAACCACGTAAGAACAAATTAAAAGTATTTTAAAAGAGACCAGGTTGTTTGAAAATCCTAAACGAATGCTAAAAATCGTCAAAACATTCTGGTGTCTGAGCCAGAGTGTCATCGAATTTGCGATGTAATGTAATGTAAACAGAAATTATAGCAAGTTGATGTCAGTCAACTTAGATGGTCCAAGCCAAAATTATATCGCATTTGAAGTTTCAAACTGAGTTAAAAATAGTGGAAGAAAAGCCATAACTATACTTATTGTCACAATCCATTTAATAAAATGCAACATTTTTTTGTTTTAATGAAAAAAATCAGTTATTTTCATGAGAACGATTTGTTAATTCCATCTCAATTTTTTTAATCTCCAATCGCAATAACGTAAAGTATTATTACCCGCGAACCAATGGGTCAAATTTAAGAAACAACCCACTGTTAGAAAGCTGAATGACTACGCTTTAAAATGAATGTAAACTTTAACGTTTTCGTCTATTATTTGTTTAGCAATTTACATTTCAGTCGAGGATTGCGCTTTTTTTTATACACCCTGTATATAGATCACTCAGTGAAAAGCCGCCATTTAGAAACTGGACTAAATATGTCACTGGAGCACTCTACTCTTGGAGTTCGGATTTGTGCGCGTGCGTATAAGTGTATGGGCTAATAAAACGAAAAATGTACCACAAGCATGTCATGACCTGGCTATTACGTACATACGAGCTTGTTACTATAATATTTAAATCGAGGAATCGCTGGCATTTTGGCTTAATTGTTCCATCCTGATTTTGCGATGCGCTAACGCATACGCGATTTCTCGACCACGAGGAAAACAGAAAATTAGGGATTTAAGACACTTGACCTTTCAGATCAGTGTAATTGTAGACCAATATCAATTCTTCCGATAATGAGTAAGGTCTTCGAAAAAGAAATCTCCAAACAACTTTATAAACATTTAAACGAAAATTGGGTTACATCAAAATTCCAATCCGGACTCCGGCCAGGGTACTCCACAATTACATCTCTATAATTCAAATGTGTGATAACTGGTACGAAAATATGGATAACGGCAAATTAACAGTTTGTTTTCCTTGATAATAGAAAGGCGTTTGATTCTATAAAAAAGAAAAAAAAAAGAAAAAAAATTAGAAAGTGTTCTATTCTATTCTATTTTTTTGTTCGATTCTATTCTTTGTTACCTCCGCCAGGAGGTTATGCAATCATCTTGGTTTGTATGTGTGTATATATGTGTGGTTGTGTGTATGTATGTGTGTGTATGTTTGATGTGTGTTTGTCTGTCAGCACGATAACTCAAGAAATACCACAAAGATTCATACGAAATTTTTGAATGCATTTCCCATCGGCTAAGGAAGAACTGGTTAAAATTTGGTTGAATTTGGTTAAAAATTGAACGAGAAATGAACAACATTTTGTCTTTCTTTTCCCGGTAAATTAAAAAAAACTTATTACTGAATGCGTAATTAGCACGTGTATAATTTATGCACGCAGTATTCTGTACAGGGTATATAACAATCTCTTTCCCCGAGCATGCCCGTTCGCAGGTTAAGGGTGGGCATAGCTCTGGAGAAATCGAATTGATTCAGGCCTGTGATTGGCTAACGGCAGATAGTACGTTGGATTTCCAACGTGAGTTCTATATAAACAAAGTATTTGGAATTTCTCGTCGAAAATTTGATACTTTTTACACCGAAATCGATTGAAAACAACTAGAAATTCTGGAGGAAATATGTGCGAAAGCTGCGGATTGATAGGCATACAAGTCATACAACTACCTGAAAAATACAAGGAGAACTTCGACGTTTCGAGCGAAGGCGCTTCGACTTGTGCTGTTAATGTTTGTATACATCGTACTTGACCTTTTATATACTGTCATACCACGGTTAAAGAGGTCATACCTAACACTACGTATACCATAAATTCTGACAGAAGAGTTAAATGTAAATTTTAAAGCATCAAAATATATAATACTTATTATTGAGGAGATTATATTTATCAGCAAAGGTCAAGTACGATGTATACAAACACTAACAGCACAAGTCGTCAAGTCGAACTGTCGAAGCGCCTTCGCTCGAAACGTCGAAGTTCTCCTTGTATTTTTCAGGTAGCTGTATCCCTATCCAACCGAAGCTTTCGTACATACTTCCCCCAGAATTTTTAGTTGTTTTCAATTCGATTTCAGTGTAAAATGTATCAAATTTT